TGAAAGTTCGGTCAAAGAACGAAAACGTCGTTGCCTACGCCAAGAAATCGAAGTTCAGGTTGGCCGTACCAGGGCCGTTACTAACGGGATCGTGATAAAGATGAATGCATGCCTTACTAGGACTACTCAAGCAATTCGATGATCAAATGAGCGACTATTGTGAAGAAGGTGATACTTATGATCATTGCGCATGTTGCCACACTAAGATTGAGCTGTGTTTTTTTGACTTTTAACACAGGTAGACAGTGCTAAACGCTCAAAAATGACGAGAGAGTCAGGGAACAAGAAGGTGCGCAGTTGGTCACCCTCCAACGACAGAAATAAGCTAGCTTGTCTTTGTCTCAACCTTGTAATGGATGATTTTTGAAGCTGAAATCAACGAAGCGGAGCTAGATTGTTCGAGTAGGACAAAGTTGCCTCTTGTCCCCCATAGTATTTTTCCGATTCAAATTGTTTCCTTATACAAATGACTCTCGCATGTTTCCAATGTAGAAAAATTAATGAGTTAATGACTGGAAGCTTACACGCGACAAACAGTAAACAGGCAGGACAGGTCTCGGCCAACCAAATGTTGAGAAAAGAAACATATCACAGAGGGGACTTCAGCGACAAAAAGTAAAATAAAGATATTGAGGAACTTACTGTTATGTTATGCTCACTAACCTGACTAACGCAGCTATTTACAGCTTCCAGTAAACGAACAATGTGAGTATAAGCTTCGACCGCGTCCATTTTCAATTCTACTCGTAATCTTGAATTACAAACGGTAATAACTACAGTGTTGCACAAACACAGCTGCAGTGTATCACAGACCTATCCATCTTATTGATAACAAGGATAACAGTTTGACCATGGGTAATCGCTTGCCGTAGTAAGACTTCTGTTTGTGAGCATACACCTTCAACCTAAGAAGCAGCTAGCAACTTGTATCGGAATCCAAGAGGTGCGAAACTTACCACATCAACTAAGAGCAAAGCTATATCTGATAATAACAAGGCTGATGTCACTTCCGACGCAAAATCGACGTGACCTGCTCAGGATTAGGGTTGAGAAAATACCAGTAGCATAGTTCAAAATATACCACAAACCAGGACTATCCATTAGATTCACCAGCATCGGACCGTAAATTAGTGAGATTCCACTTGCTTTCATTGTGATTCCCCGAGTTTGCTCATCTTCGCGATTGTCAAGAAATCGTAATTTTCCAGCCATTCGAGCTAAGAATAGGTTTAACTATAACAATCTCATAACAACTTGGTTTGCTTGACCAACTCACCAGAAACGATGGCATTGGTAGAAACGAGAGAGTCAGCAAAGCATGTCTTGCCGTGGTCCACATGAGCGATTAAACATATATTTCGGATCTCATCCGGGGACTTCTTGAA